GTTCGATTGAAGGCTCTCCACGTGTTAAACGCCATACCTGCTGCGGAAATATTAATGAGTATGCTTAAACCTTTCGTGAAGAGAAACTTGTTAGGCATTGTGAGTCAGCGTGCACGTTATTCGCACGTTAATATACTTTTATTTATTTATTTTAAACAGATCTGAGTACACCTTTGGCCTTTCTTATTTTTAGATACATTTCCACACGAATATAAAGAGCGCGGAGAAATTTTTCCCCGTCGAGGCTTTGCCGAACGAAATGGGCGGAAAAGCCGGACCTATGAATGATCTGATTGACAATCACATTAAATTATTGGAGGAATTTCGACCATGGTTTTTACAGGACGAAGGGATCGGACGGGTGAATGAATCTCTGCGAGTCGGCAAATTCGAAGCGGCGGATGATATGCTCGGGGTGGACGGTAGCTTTAAGAAGCTCGAGATAGATTAATCGACACGAAGCGACACAGAGTGAATCGTATTTACATATTATTTGACAATTTTTTTGACAGATTATTTCCATGACAAATTATTTGTAAGTTATGCGACAGTCCGCATTTACGCGAAGGCTAAGGAAGGAAAGCTACGTAATTGGATTTAATCTCTTTTGCTCTCTTATTTCTTTGTAATATAAATCTTAATTTTGTCGTTTACGATAAAATGTATACGAGCGTATATGTAAAATGTTATGTTGTAGCCAATAATAATTTACAGTTACATAATTAGCACATACACCCTACGATTTTAATATTTCTTGTCATTCATATACGTTGTACGTTCATTACACTTAATTAAATATTTCCTCGCGGTTATTTTTGCTGTAAAGACGCGACACTGGAACCTTAGCGTATGAAAGTTACGATCACATAGTGCCAGCAGAAGAGTATCGCAACGCATAATTTCACGCACCCTATTACTAATACGGTTGGTTTGGTTTGTAACATACAGGGTGGGCCATTTTAATCCATCCAGTCGAATATTTCGAAAACCAAGCCTGGGAGAGAAAAATTTTTCAGACAAAAGTTGTTTGGTTTCGAGGGGACCATAAGACGGTACCATTGGTTTGACCTTGAAGAATTATTTGAAAGTCACATGAAGGTCACCTCAATTT